GGTTGTCAGATTCAAAATGGCCAATACCAATCCATTTCAGCTCACTAATGCCTAAGATATCGATATTGATGCATTCCATTTTTGACAACTTCCAATTTTCCCAGATTCATACTTCGTACATTCCATGTTCCGATTTTCAATGGATGTTTACTACTGTTTCTTTTCATTTTAAATTGTGGCCCATCAGCAAATGAAGGTTCTATGAGCTTTTCTTCCCTGAGCTTACCTCTATTCACGTCACCATGGTCAACTCTACTTTGAGGAGACATTTTTTTTCCCAGTCACATTCTGAGTGCCTTCCCACCTTCCAGTCCTGTACCTGACAGTGTTTCTCTGCTATTCATAGGGTGTTCAGTCACTAGCGATTTGGAAGTAGTTTGTCACTCTTTCTTCCTAGTCTGTCTGTGTCTGGAAGCTCATCTGAAACCTGTCCACCATGGGTGACCCTGTTGCTTATTTAAAATACTGGTGGCAGAGCCCTCAGAATCACAGCAACTCAATCCACCACAGCATGACAGACGAGTGGTGGCCATTTGGTTTTATGTTGATAATATCACTTTAAATTTTGATCTTAATCTTGATACAATCCTGATATAATCAAGGTACAATCAAGATGTTCTCTCCTGATACTATCAATCCTGATACAATCAAGATATTCTCTCCCAAGATGGTGGCTCCTGGAACAGCTGAGTGTCTTGAGCCATAAAACAATGGATTTCTGGAATCTCCTGCAAATTCTCCAGCTGTAAACCCTCCGTTCCTCCAAACATAACTTTATATTTTTTTCAGAGTCTCAACACCATCTCATGAGCCCTCTTGGCCTGGTATTCCTTGTTGGTGGTGGTGGTGTTCCTCACTACACGTCTACCTGATCTGCCTTTTTGAAGGAGCAAAGCCTGGTAGTGTAGTGGTTAAGAATCTGGCTACAAACCCCGCAGTCAGCAGCTTGAATCCACCAGGTCCCCCCTCCCCCCTGCGTGAAAGAGATGAGGCTTTCTACTCTTTGCAGTTAAAACAGCCTTGGAGTCTGGTGCATTAACCCACAGCACCACACCAGGACTCCGAATCTTGCCGCTCCAAGAGCTCGCTGCCGCTCCAAGAGCTCGCTGCCGCTCCAAGAGCTCGCTGCCGCTCCAAGAGCTCGCTGCCGCTCCAAGAGCTCGCTGCCGCTCCAAGACCTCGCTGCCGCTCCAAGACCTCGCTGCCGCTCCAAGACCTCGCTGCCGCTCCAAGACC